ACGGCCCGGAGCGTTTTCCGTAGTGGGCGGAGAGGAGGGATGGGCGAACGAAATGTGATCACGGCCCCCAATACGTGCCCACTTCCATCCACCTCATTCCATATTTTCTTTTGTGGTCGAGGACGACATTCACCGTATGACACCATTGAGATGGGCGTTGAACGGGTCGAGCTGCACCCTTTTCTGTCGCTGTGATCTGTCATATCTCAACAACACGTCCGTTTTCTACAACAACAGCCCATGCATCTCCCCATAAAAACTTCTGACATACGAACCACCCTCGTCATCGGCCTCCCCAAGGAAAGTCAATTGCCGCGTATTCGTAGGCGTCTGGATGTCTGGAAGGCCCTCCTCAACCGAGTCACACTGGACAACTTTGCAGAGGCGAAAGGGCACCAAAAAGCACATTGTGTCTGCATCGATCCACTCGCACCTTTTCTTTTCATGTTTTTGCGACCCATCTGTTCCTCTTTTTCCTTTAGCGCTCTCGACCAGAATCAATAATTCGTAGAGGGCCATATGATAGACAGAGTGGCGACTCACCACCTCCAAAGTGGACCCTGATGTGATTGTTTTTAGTGCTCCGGTTAGCTCGGACGGCCTGGGGCGGAGCGCAAAAGTGGGGTCTCGAGCTCTAGTTGTGTCCCGATGCGGCAAGAGCCCGTTTTCAGGCGGATGCTGTAAGAAAGGAAGGAGTGAACAAGACAGAATACACATTGTAGTAGAATAACCACTCTCCCACTGCAGCAAAGAGCCTGAAAGCAGCCAGTGTTGCATGCTCTGGCCCTCGTGTTGTGTTGCCACACGATCTGCATTGCCGGTTCTCTGCTGGTTCGGACGGGGGAGACAACCGGCGAGATGGGAAGAGACGAGGCACACGAAAGGTAAGAGAAGAGTGACTGGCGATCGTGGGCTGAGAACCATAGGAATAATTAGAGGCCCTCCAGTTCCTCGAGCATCATTTGACAAACAATCGTGCAAAGCTTCTGCTGGGCAGCGATGAAAATGTGCGGGTACTCCAAACCCGAAGATCACCTAATGAAATTTGACCTTCTCGTGGCTTGATTCACACAGTGGGCCATCGCTCCTCATTTTAGCTGAAATATGCACATGGATGGTACCCAATCTGTTCACCTTGCACTTGTTTTGTCGCTCTCCCGTCGCGTCCTCTCCACCCGTCCGGTTACCCCTTTTGCCAATCTTCCGCTCACCACGGACCACTCTGTCAGGAGTTTTTTGCTGTTCTCACTTTGTCTCACCGGTTGAAATAGGTGACATTCACAGATTCGAGCGTAGCATTATGGTGAAAGACGGAGTGTGGTGTCCAAAGAAGCCAGGGTCAAATAGGACGACGCACGTCGTACCTGCGCAGAATGAAATCTTTCCTCTCCAACGGCTTGTCTCCTTTCATTATCAGTGTACGTTTTTGTCTCCAGGCAGGAGACGATCCCTTTCACTCGACTCATTCTTACTGCTCTTTCCAGGGGAAGAAGGTCCTGATACTAAAACTCCTGCCCTGTGCTTTGCTCCCTTGCATCTGACGTTCTGGGGCCTTTGGACCATGAGTCGGGGGCTCCACACCGAATAGTTGTGCAGGATCTCTCCACGCTAACGGGAGTTGTTGGCACTGTTCGTCTGGTTTCAACCCTGGAAACTCTGGCTGTTCAGGGCGATTGGCCTTTTTTACACAGCATGGGTTGGCACACCTCACCGTTAGGAGGGCGTACTGGGCGGAGCAGTATGAGCAGAGCACGAGCTAAACTGGGTCATGAAGCCGAAAAAGATGACCCAGGTGCAACGTAAGGATTAGCAGGCCGGCGGCATTTCCCTGTTTCGTGTCGACGGTGTGTATGTGTGAGCTTAGCATACTGGCCGACTACCGTGGAATCTGGCAATAACCAATTCAAAGTAACTCACGGGGTTTGCACCGCTTGTTAAAATGCCCAGGTTTGGAAGGCAGGTTTCGTCCAGTCCAAACCCGAGCACAGTCGAATAAGTCCAGAGAACGAGAAAGGGTATGGGCAACCAATTCGGCGGGAGGACGATGTGAATCGTCGACAGGTGCGGCCAGGTGACGGGTTTGTGTTACCAGCTTGTGTTGCAGGGACGGCGAGTCAGGTGTGTAAGATGGGATGAAATGACAATAATTATACTGCTCCAAAGCAGCTCAGACTCTCTGGGGATATGATATAACCAAAAATTCTATCTTTGTTGATGCTCTAGCGCAGAAGCACACAATGTCGCGACCTTGAACGCCGGGTAGAAACATAAATAACAAACGAAACAAAATACAGCAAGCCAAAGGGCTAACCCAAAGTGCGAAGAGAACAGAAAACAAAAAGGGTTAGGGTTCTGTCAACTCGGTGAAGCAGCAGGAAACCGTCAACTTTCAACTCATGCCCATTAACCAACATTAAAGAAGCAGAGCCAGTTGAGAAAGTAAGGCGAAGAAGGAAGAAAAGAAGAAAAGAAAAGGTAAATAGACAAAAGAAGCCCCGAAACCAAATATCGGTGAAAAAGTAATAAACATAACCCAAACAATACTCAATACAATCCTATCGGGAAAGAATATATTCATTTATTTCGCCTCTGTCCGCTCGTCGTGGTGTTGACGTCTGCTGCGATTGTCGCGTTGGTCGCGTTCGCGCGTTCGCCCGACGTTGCGGCGTTGTCTAATCCTCCCATTCCTCGTCGAGCTGGTCGATCAGACGGTTCTCATCTTCGCGGTTGCGGCCGTTTGGCGAGGTAGACAGGGTTCGGTAGCCGTCCCGCTGGGGCAGGTGCCGCGTGCACGTTGACGTCAAGATGATGACAAAGTCCTGTATCCCGGGGAACACCAGAAGAGCGAAAAAAAAGCACAGAGAAACAAAGTTAGTCGTAGCGTCCGTGTTGTTGGGGTTGGGCCAGCTTGGCGGCGGCAGAACCCCAGAACAGGTCGTCACCACCGGAGCCAGGCAGCATGCGGTCTTGCTCCTCGTCGTCGTCACTGCTGCCCGTCCCGAAAGCGCCGCTACCGCCTCTACCGCCGCCACTGCCAAAACGGCGTCCGCAGAGGATACGCACCCTGACAAAACTCCAGATGCCCAGCCAGATGGTGTGGTTCGGCAGCTGCCGCCAGCCACGCGCGTGGGCGACGGTGCGGTTATAGGCGACACCGCCGATAAAGTAGACGAGCAGGGCGACGCCCAGGATGATGGCGAAGACGCCACCGGGGCCGACACTGCCCGGCTTGTGGGGCTCGACGCCGGCGCAGGCGTGGGGCGAGCGGATTTTGAAGAAGTAGGCGCACTGGTCGGGCGTGCCAACAAACGAGACATGGGCAGTCGTATCGACGGGGTCGCGATCGCAGAGGAAGGCGAACGTGGCGGACTTCCGGCGGGTCGTCGACAGCGTAGAGGACGGCGATGACTGTGTCGAGAACATGGGCTCACTGTCAATCTCGCGCTTCACTTTGTCGTTGTATTTGTTCGAACGGCTGCTGCCGGACTTGTCGCTGAGGTCTGGACACGGTGAGCCGCCGGTGTACTGCAGGACAAGTTCGCGGCCGCGGGACACGAGCACGGACGATTCTTGGCTGGCTTTGTTAGCATGTGACGGTGCGGAGGAGGAAGGCAGGGAGATAAGAGGGCAACGGAGAGGAAAAGGAAAACAAAGGAAAACAAAAGCAAAAACAAAAAAAAAAAAAAGGAAAGGGAAGAGGTCGGGTCTGTGCCTCCGGTCATACCCCAACGAGAACGTGTTGCCATCCAGTTCGTAGTAGGCGCTCACGTTGGCCCACAGGTCGCGGTCGACGCCCTTGACGTCCTTGACAGGCTTCACGACGGCGGCGCATATGTTGAGCGTAAAGTTGGCGCCGTAGTCGTGGCCGCGGGCGACATAATCCGTCGTCAGCACGCCGGCCTTGTGCTTCTTTCCGCCCACGGCGGGCGGCAGCGCAATATCATGGCGCAGGTCGTAGAAAGCACCACTGGTCGAGGAAGCAGTGCAGGGGATGGTGCTGGTTGTCTTGGCAGGCAACGTCGTGTCAGTGGGCGCAGCGATAGGTGTAGCGGCGGCGTTGGCGGCGGACGGCAGCGAGACCACTGCGGCGAGGGCCGAAAATATTAATGGTGACCGAGGGAGCTGCATTGTGTGAGAAGGCGGAGGATGACGACGAGAGCCAACGAGGGTATGGAGAGAGAGGTCTTGAACAACAGCGCTCGCACGCTGGACGTCGGTCGTTGTCGCTCTTGATTTCGAAGGGGTTATCGGATGCAAAGGGCTCTGGAGCGTAGAATACACGCCTGGTGCAAGCAACCACCAGGAGTGACACACCAGTCGGCCGGGATAAATGAGGCTCGGCGGCGGGTCGTGTCAGCAAGACGTAGGGCTGATGCAGGTTGGGTAACAATGCAGTGTGAAGAGCCGGGAGACGGATGCTTCCTTTCCAGCGGAACAGCAAACTGAGGATATCGTGTAGGGCGGAGGTGGTCGGCGAGAGTCGACGAGTAGGGTGATGAGATAACGACGAGATGGCAGCTGATGAAAGTGGGAGTGTTGTTGACGAATCTTCGAAATAGGAGAAACGAGGCCGCGCAACGTCGCCAAAGGCACCTCATTGGCTCACTGGCGGCACGCAGCCTCCTTTTGGCCAATCAGCGTAAGATGACATAATTGTGTGCTTACGTAAAATTCTGCTTCGCTGTGATTCGTTCGCACTTTCTACTTTTAGCGTGTTTGGCGAAGAGATCGTCCCTCTACTTGGCTGCGAGCGGCAGGAAGCCACCCGGCAGTGACTAACAAACACTGCTCGAGACATGTGAAGTTGTGACACAGGACAACAGATACGGAGGATAAGCCGGGGACGACGCCGGCGAGGAGGGTTTTGATTCCTTGATTTCGTCCAATACCGTCCACGTTTGCTATTCGAGCAGGGCATTTAATGAGTTGTGTGCGAAGAGTTGCTTTGTCTTCTCCATCTTCCTATATCTCAACTGTCCATCTCCAAAGACTGCTCTTCATCATATCCGCTTGCCTTTGGTCACCAGCTGCGGCCCATTCAGGCCAACACCCAGCAGAAACGCGAGCCGCATCGACGCGCCGACGTACACAAACGGCACGTTGCCCCAGCCCATAGCGTTCCACTGGTCTGCGCGCCAGTAGATGTCACCTCCGAGCGGCCGCAGCGAGTACAGGTGGCCCAGGTCGGCCACCAGCAGGCCAAACAGCAACGTGCGCCACACGCGGCGGTCGGCGGTGGTGCGCAGGACGAGGGCCTCGTTGAGCGTGAAAAGCAGGTACAGGTTGGCCAGCTGCGAGAGCACGACAGACGTCACAATGGGGACGTTGCCGGCGGCATCAGTCGCGGTCGACGCCGCGTGCGTCATGGCCAGGTAATCGTGTTGGCGAAAGTGCGCATAAAAGGCGCCGGCGAGGGCCGCAATGGGCTCGATCGTGAGAAAAAAGAGCCGGTAGAGGGCCGGCAGCGGGACGGAGGCCGTGACCGGCGTCGGCCTTTTCTTGGCTTCGGGCTTCTTTGCGTCGGACATGGCGGTGCAGCTGTGGGCAGGAGGCGTCGCTGGAGAGGTGGTAGGGTCGAGGCTGGCGAGAGTGTCAGAATTTGCGGTTTGAGGTGAAAGGTGAGACGTTCAAGAAAACTGGAGGCGGAACTAAAATGCGGTGACGCACTGAGCTAAGTCGGGCCCGCTGCGAACCACCCTAAAATCCTAAAATACACTACAAACCATATCCACGGATGAGACAGGCATGCAACATATCCTCGTCAGAGCGTCATACGTAAGCAGTTTGTAAATGTAAGTTTGAACACGCTGTTGTGACCTCTGTAGTTGGCGACCTTCTCAATTGGGACATGTGGGGCTTCGAACTCGTTGTTGATTGGCCCCGCCCTCGCAGCCTCTTTGACGACCGCATATAAATTCAACTCGTCTTTCTCGACGTCTCTTTCTTGTACTCTTGACTTCTTACCCTTCTTTCACTTTTTTTCATTTTCTTATTCTCGTTACCCTTTTATAGTAGAGATTTGGTTCTTTTCCTAGACCCTTATCTTTGTTACCACTACTGTCACGCGTAGACTCCCTTTACGGGAGTCTAGTATCACACCAAGTCACGTACCGCTTAACTAAAACATGTAACGGTTATATTAGACCTTTTCTCCGACCTCAAGTTTATATAGATAGTTTATAGAATTAATAATCATTTATTGTATATTATATCATACTATTATTTAAGACTTACACTATTATACGGTATTTTAAATCGTGATATATGTGAGACCTTATTTCTTGTTCCGTTACTTAGTATCTCGAAGCTAGTGACGTACTACACTTATATGTAACACATTGGTTAGTTTTGTGTTAGTAGGGTAGGTATCTTATTTAGTTTTAGTATAAATACTCCTTACACTTTTTTTACTTATCCTACTAACCCCTTAATATAGTGTTCGTTAAAAAATGTATAAAGTAAATAATAAAAACGCTTTTACGGTACCCGACTTTCTGCTTTACTCCACCTTTTTATTTTAACTCCCCCTCGTCACCGCCCTCGAACTACCGCCGGCAGGCCTTGACAATGCTCTGCAGCTTGTCGTTGCGGGCCTTAAAGCCACTGCCCAGCTTGGCAATGTCGGCGTCGGCCCAGCCGGCGCGCTTGTCGGCCATATCGCGGAAGCCCTTGCCGTCTCGCGCGCTCTTGGCAATACCGCGCACGCCAAAGGGCATGCCCATGACAGCAAAGAGGGCGGAGCTGGGGTCGTCGACGACCGAGTAGACGCCAAAGGCGGCGTTGCCGAGCTCGCCGATGATGGTAACGGCACGCGCGAGGCTGGTCAGGCCGGCGGCCATGGCGGCCTCCTCGCCGATAAAGGGGACGACGAAGAGCAGGGCGCCGACAATTTCCAGGATGAAATTCTTACGCTTCTCCTTGTCCTCCTCCTCCTGCTTCTCGGCGAGCACCTTGACCTGCTCCATGCCGTCGACGGCCTGGACAAGTAAAAAGACGGGTACGGACATGACCTGGACGACATCGGCGGCGAGGCCGTCAAAGATGCCGAGTATAACGTCGAGGCGGCGGGCGAGCAGGGCATTCTCCAAGTCGTCGACGTTGCCAATAGTGTTGGTGATGACGTCCTTGGGGTTAGGGATAACGACGTCGGCCTTGACCTCGGGGTAGCCGTACCACTCGCGCGCGCCGGCGGTAAGCGGGCACGAGGTGGTGTCGTCGGAGTAACACGTCTCGGTTTCGTGGTAGGTGCCCTTAAAGTCGAGCCAGTCAGCGGGGATGCCGTAGTCCTTGAGCAGCTCAGCAGCGAAGCCGTCGGCATCGCGCAAGACTAGCGTGACCTTGACGAAGCCCTTGTGGATCGACTCCTTTATCTGGTCGCAGGGCGCCTTCTTGGTTAGGGGCGTCAAGTCGTCGGTAAGGGCGCAGTCGAAGTCTACGAACGTTAATAAGGTAAAAAGAAGAAAAAATAGAAGAAAAGAAAAGAAGAAGAAAAAAAAAGACGACGAAGGAGGACATACACTTTAGACCGTCGCCCTTGATGGCGAGAAAGTTGTCAATTACGGCCGGCACCATATTCTTCATGTAACGCACATAGTCGCCAAATTTAGCGTCGTAACTGTTGTTGGCGTCGTTGTAACGCGTGTACGCGTCGTCAAGCATGCTGCCGAGCACGCCCAGCGTAAAGTAGTTGGCGCAGTGGCTGCTCATACCGCCCGCCACGTCCTTGGCCAGGTCGTCAAAGGTCGTGTACACCTTACTCACGTCGCACAGCATCGTTCCGCTGCCGTCGCTGTTATCGTCGTCGCTACCCGTGCCGTCGTCGGCCGTCTTGCCGTTGCCACCAGGCCCAAAGTCTGCCACGAGGTCGACGGCCCAGTCCGACGTGCCCCCAAAATTGAGCCCGCGCCACTTGCTCGCACGGCTGCTGTAGCTGTCGTCCGTGAGGTACGAGACCCACTGCATGTCGTCGTATACGAGGATATCGCCCTCGTCCTGGAACTGCTGGATGCTGCGCGCGTCGTACGTGTCCGGGTCCACGGCGCTCATCAGGATCTGGTTGATTTCAAAGTTAGAAATGTAGCCGGCCCTACACTGTTAGTAAACTGTTAGAATTCTTATGTGTGGAACAGTAAGACATCCGTGAACGTACGTATTGGTGCAGGGACCCGGGGCGGCATTCGAGTTGAGCCGGTCGCCCGTGAACGTGCACATGGGCCCCGTGCAGCCGGCTTGGCTCATGGCAAAGCTGCGTCCGTAGCGGGCCATGCCCACAATGACCTTGTCGGACGAGACACCGGCCTTGGTGATGAGGCCCAGCGCCGTCATGGTCTCGGTCAGGTTGACGTGGCTGCGCATGCAGCTGCCTGATTTGCAACCGGGACTGTACGGAGTACCGTTAGTACGACAGTGTTTCATGTATTTTATGGTATTTTATAGGACGTTAGTCTGGACGTTGTCTTTGCCACGTACGTCGAGTACTGGTTACCGTAATCCCATTGGCAGTGTAAATCATAAGTCATGTAAATAATATAGTCGACCACCTGCGCCATATCCTTAATGGGGAAGTGCTGTAGGTACCAGTACGAGGCCGGTGCGGCCATAGACAGCGTCTTGTTCTTAGGCAACAGAGAGCGCATCGTCTTGAGGAACTCGAGGTAGTTGCTGCCTTCCGTCACGGGATCGCCCGCAGGCGTGCCGGGGATATCAGTGGCCTATGCATGTCAGTAAGGGCAGCAAGGGTGCATAACAAAAATATAAGATATAAAGGGACATACACCCGGGTATTCCCAGTCAAAGTCCACGCCGTCGAGTCCGTTATTGACTACAAACTGGACAATGTTCTTGGCCGCCACGCCACGGCTGCCCTGGCTGTGGACAATCCGACGGAAGACGCCGTAAGTGGAAGGCGCATTGGAGAAGCCCCAGCCGCCAAACGAAATGATACGGCGGATGCCCTGTAGCTTCTTGAGCCCGTCAAACTGGCCCTGGGCGCCGCTGGCGTCTACCTGGAAGTCGTTGGTAATATTGCCAAAGGCAAAGTGCACGGTCGAGTAGGAGCCGCCGCCAGGCGGCGCGACGGCCGGGTCGGCGATGCGGGAAATGTCCATGTTGAGACAGGGCCGCGAGTCGACGTTCCAGGCCTCAAAGTAGGCGACGGTGCGGAACGTGCGCGGCGGCGAGGCGTTATTAGTAATATTCATGCCGCAGCTGGAGACGCAGCCGTTGCTGCCGGGCCGGGCCGCGCCGGGCCCACCGTTAAGGATCGGGGCCGGCACGCAAAAGTCGCTGTCGATACCACAGTTACCCCATACGTTGCAACACACGTTGAGCGGGCACGGGTTGACGTCGGCGAGCGCCGTACCGTCTTTAGGCCGCACGGTGCCGGGCTTAAGGGGCCCGCACGCGGCCGTCGCGACGGGTATAGGCAGCGGCGGGTCGCCGTCGCTAAGGCAGATACGCATTTTCTTTTGTAGGGCCGGACACGGCAGCCAGCCCCAGATGTTCTTGTTGTACTTGTCGAGTAGCTTGATGTCGGCGATGGCATGCGCCGCGGCGATAGCGGCGCAATTGTCGCCCGGCTGGGTCTCGTACACGAAGCAGCTGCCGTCGGCGTTCTTCTTGGGCGACAGATCCGGCATCTTGCCGTGCCCGCAGCACACGTACTGGCCCTGCTGCAGGTTGCTGCAAAAGTCGGGGTCGCCGCCGTTGCTCGCCGTCAGATCGGCCACCGTCACATCGCCGCCGCACTTGGCTGCCAGCTGGCTGCAGTACTCTTTGCCCTGCTGCTGCACGTACGCGCACGTTCCGTCTGTCTTGGCCGGCAGGGCCGTGTCCGGCAGGCTGCCCGGCGAACAGCAGACACGCTGGTTGGCCTGCAGCGTGCTACAGATGTTGGGATCGCCGCCGTTAAAGCGGATAAAATCGTCCGTACTGATACCGCAGGCCTGTGCTGTCTGCTGGCAGCCCTGGGTTGGTACCACCTTGCGCACTTGGCAGTCGTTGCGTTTGCGTAGAGCCGTTGTCCCGTTGACTGTCCCGTTGACTGTCCCGTTGACTGTTCTCGTCGCCGCGCCGTTGAGCCCGGAGCTGCCAACATCGCCGCCGTGCAGCAGACCCGGAAGCATACCGAGCTCGACGCGACCAAGAGACCGTTCCGTGTACGACGTGCCGTTAACGCAGTAGCCCCGGTGCCACTCGCGGAGCACCGTCTGCACGGCCAAGGCGTCGCCCGTCAGGTCGGCAAACACACCGAGCTGCTGCGAGCTGAGCTGCTCTTTACCGCACACCTGCACGGCCACCTGGCCGGGCGCAGCCTGAATGCTTTCGATGCGTAAAACGGTGGACTGGCTCATATGCTCGCGGACAAAGGCTGCCGCGGGCGCCTTATCGACCTGCGCGCCGACATAAACGCCCATGGTGACGTTGTTCGTCTTGGCAAATATGATGCTGGCCGTGCACGAGAGGTCCTGGGTCACAAACTGCGCCAGGTTCTCGGCCGAGGCGCGGATGTCGTCGACGTCGTCCACAGCAGGCACAGAAGATACACTCGACGCGCCTGCGGGCGACCACAGCAGCTGGAGCTCCCGTTGCGCCCTTGTCGGCTTGTCGACGTGGTCCATACACGTGGCGCCCGCCGCAAAGGTCGTGACCGAGCTGACGGCACTCGCATTGAAGCTCTTGAAGCTCTTGAAGCTCTTGCGCTTAAACAGGGCCGTGTCGTTGACAGGACCAGGTGCCGGCAGACTCACAGATGACGATGTAGACGCCGCGCAAGCCTGGACGATGGAACCAATCTCCGGGTCGTTCAGGGGCTGGTACAACATCACCTGGAAAAGGACCGTCTCGTTACACCGGTCAAGGTCACTGATCTGGCCATACGGCAGCCAGGATGTGCCATTAACAAAATCACATGGTAGCGGACAGTCCCGGACAGACTGCGGACTCTGTGCACGAACAAAAGCAGGGGAGATGGCCAGCAGCCACGGAAGGGGATGAATCCTCATCGTGGAAAGACAAGACAAGAAGGGAAAGAAGGCGTGACTGACAAAGAAAAGAATAGTAAGATAAACCAGGGCAGACCAAAAATGGCTGGTGTTGGAGTCGTGATCTGAACGAGAAATTTCCAATATTTCAAATGTGTGTCTGATGCCCATCCATATGTATACGATGCCGACTCCATCGGTCGTCTACGTCGGAGCCATTTTTGTCTAATGCTAAAGAAAGGCGGTCTCGACGTCGGCGACCTTTTTTCTCGCCCGGAATCCTTCCAATTGCAATGGGAGTACCAACACAACTGTTGGCTCATGCCGTGTGTATATACAGATTAAGAAGAACATAGCCGCGGCGAGATCCTTTGTGATGGCAACTAAAAGAGTCAAAAAAGTGAGGCACAGCACGGTTGTGCCTTGCATGCCGCGTGCGTTTTCGAATCCTGCATATGGCCATCTCGGCAGCGACTGCCGGTGGATGAAGTCGAGTTTATTTTGTGCCTTTCTTCGCTGGGCGAATTTATTAACGGCGTCATTGAGGTCACCGAGGCGGTCGCATATCGTGTGTTGGTCGCTAGAGCTGTTGTTCCTCGTGGTAATTTAAGAAAAAGGTCGACAATAACTGCGGCTGCTGTACCTGGGCGATTTTGTGTTTCGTTTTTATAAAGACCAGCCTTAGAGACACCTCCGTGGACGAGGATCGTCTCTTGGTCACCGCTCGACACGACTGCATGTCCTTTTTTGTCCTTTTTTGTTCTTTTTGTCCTTTTTTGAATACCATACACCGCCATGAAGCTTCCTCTCTTCCTGACGCTCTCCTGGGCGGTCTCGTGCCTGGCTTCCATGGGTGCAGGCCCCTATCAAAGTCAGTTGCGGCTTTCTTTTCGTTTCTTTTCGTACAGGACATGCCATCCTTGACCCTCGCTAACAGTGACAATGCAGCTGTGTATATCTGGTATGCCTACCAGATGGAGCTCCAGCTTTACGGCATCGGCAACACCCAGATTTTGGCCCACTGCCGCGGTTCCGGTGCAGGTGGCTCTTGCGCGTTTGACGAGTTCCTGCGCGATCTCGATGGCAACAAGGCCCAAAAGAAAACTGTTTGGAAAGGCTCGACGGACGTGGGCATGGTGACGGACTTTGACGTGGACAGCGTAGCGAAGAAGCTCGTCGACGCCAACTACGGGAGCTACTACGACTTGAAAACCCTGATGCCCGCTGTGATTCCGGACACGGGCAGCGCCCGTCCGTCTCTGGGTGAGATGATGCTGCCAATCGCAGACCGCGTCAACCAGGTCCGCAAAGACGCTGCGGCGCGCGGCGTGGACATTGCGGCCCGCCTTGACAAGATGAAGCTGTCCCTGGACCGGGTGCTGGCGTACCGCATCGCGGAGCAGGAAGCGCGGACAATTCCTAATCTTAAGGAGTACATGAAGAAACAACGCAGCATGCCAATGTACAAACTGGTGCTTAAAGACCCTCCGCCGACCAAGCCCGACGGCACGCCGTACGACAGCATTGATATGGACCGGACTGTCGCCGATAACAAGGCTTTGCACGACAGCATTACGCGCGGGAATTTGTTGGACGATATGAAAAAGTTTATTATTGGGGAGCTGAACCTTAGTGGTAAGGGTATTAAGGCGCAACTTAACCACTACGTCGCCATTAACGCTATTCAGGAATGCATCGGCCGCCTGAACGCAAACTGTTAGACGTGGGCGTTGTTGTCCTACGCGATGTAGGAAGTGGTACATGGGCAGAGCGTTTAGCCAGAAAGGACACGGTCTTAGTGGTATGTTGTGGTTGGAGCTGGTTAAAGATATAGTTGGGAAACAAAAAGGGTGTAAAGTAGATTTAGAAGATTATATAATAGCACGATCTACCCTGTCTCGACAGCTTCTGATCCTTTTCTCCGTCAAAAAAGACGGCTTACGATGTAATTTTATCCCGTGTTTGAGCCACCTATCCGCAGCCTGTTTTATAACTGGTAAATGTAATGCTGTTGGCTCCGGTTATTTTGTTTTCTTTGCCATTCACCCTACCATTTTCCTCGTTTCGACAATCTATCGATACAATCTGTCGATTCATAAAATCTCCCAAAAAGTGCACCTCTCACATCAAACTGATATTCCAAACACAAGCACGCAAATTCACCATGGCAGCGCTCGACGCCGAGTTTCACCTCTTTCCAGAGCTCCCCTATGAAGTCCGCGCGGCCATATGGGAGCTCTGCCTGCCACACCGCGTGGAGGAGCTTGAATGCCCCCATCGTTACATCCGCTGGCCGTACATTGGCTGCACGCTGTTCAGCGCCCACATGGCCAATCGCCGCCCGCCGGCCATCTCGCGCGTGTGCCACGAGGCACGCAAGATTGCACTGCAGACAGGCGAGGCATACGCACGGTATGTGACATCCTTGGCGGAACGCTTCCCCGTCGCGCCCGACCGGATGGAGCGCTACAACAGCCACAAATGGTACATGCCCGTCGACGCGACACGGTACCAGCCGCATTACACGCTAGGCCCGGGTGACGGCGCGCGGGGCGGTGTCGATAATGCGCTGTGGACGCTGCCCGGCCGCTCGTCGCTGCATCTTAACCACACCGAAGACTACCAGTACGACACGGAGATTACGTGGGAGTTGGAGGAGCCCGTCGCCTGCCTGCACTGGTACGCTCAACACCTCCGCGCCACGTCCGTGTCCATCATGGCGGACCTGATCCTGCCCTTTTACGAGAACAGCCTGCGCCGCGGCCCCGTCGTCGACGTCCCCATGATCCGCGCGTTGCGGCGGGCGCTGTCATATGCAGCCGTCGTCCTACACGTGCCCATACACCTCACGTCCGCCACGGTGGCCCGCCAGTCTGGCCTCTTTGGCCTCTTGGGCGACGCACCGTTACAGCTCGTCAACCCGGCCACGGACTGGGCGCGCGTCGAGCAGTTCAAGGCGTTGTGGCGCGCCCACGGCCCTTACGGCCATGCCAGCGACCGCGACGCCATCCGTGACTTCACAGTTACCCTTGCCAGCCAGCAAGGGTTTGCGGCACGCTGCCGGCTGTGGCTCGACGATGTCGAAAAGGTCTGGGTTAACCGGTTACACGACGCCGACGGCCGCGAGGGCCTGGCGAAGGACGAAGTTAACGAGGCCGACGATATGCCCAAGCCGGACGAGGACAGCGTCTGGACGGGCTCCAACGACTGGGACCCGTGGGTGCGCGACATTGACTGGGAGAGGAGCAACATTGCGGCGCCCACGCAGTACATGGTCGACCTCGCGACCCGCTCGCTCAACAAGTCAAATCCCTGGGTCCAGGCCCAGCTAGCACAGATGCCGCAGTTTGTCCCGCACGTTATGTTCCGGTATTGCGACGCAAAGTGCTATCTGTCAAAAGAGGAGCGGCCGGCGCGCCCGATTAAAGGCTAGCCGGCGTAGGCTGTTAAGGGGTCTGTTTATACGTCTTTAAAACATATAACTATCGTCCCAGCTGCTTCGGTCTCTAGGGTAGGCTACCAAAATCGGGCCATTCAGGAAAATGACAACTGTAGGTACATAGTACTTCGAAGGGACAAACCCCTCACTGCAGCGACCACCAGAAGCGGCGGCGGTCCGCGCCAGACAAAAGTGGCGGCCACAACAGCGCTTTCTCGCTTTAAAGTGTAAAATCTGTGTACCACGTACAGCATAGTCCGAACAGAGATGAAAGGTCACCTAGATCGTATTTGAGACCATTGGCATTCGACAAACCGCTTCTTAGAATGTCCCTGCTCTCATGCACTTCGCCATGACTCGTCTGTGATCCATATCAAATATCTACCCTGCTGAAACTGGTCTGATGAGCAGCCAAATAGGACGGTTACAGGAAGTCAAGAAAATGAAAGTAGAAAAAATACAACGCTAAGACTGAGGTTGTAAATCACCATCGAACGTTGTTTCGTTGCGGTCACTCTCTGATCATCCTGAACGGAAGCATGTTTGTTTTAGTGTGAGATATAAACTAGATAAGTGGCTAAGAAAGGCGGACAACAATAATTAAATATATGAAATGAAATTATAAGGGAAGTTGATCTTCTCAGAATAACAGGATGAAAAAAAGACACCAAAAAATACTATAAGTAATAAAAAGACAAAGTGTACGTCGTAGACAGAAGCATTCTCATAGTTCATAGTGTCTACAGAGGGCATTCGGATGCTTTGGGCCCGCGATGGGCGGCGATGACAACAAGGATCAAAGCGCCGGGCACCGTTTCAACATGACCGTATACAGCCACTCAAGGCCCCAGCCTGAAAAGCATGGGCTTTTGAGGGTGTCCTCATCTTTCTGCCAATCATTTTCTTTCCTGTTTCCGGGAATCCCCTGACGACGTTCAGACCTTCACTTTTGAGGACAAACAAACCTAACATCTGATTTCACTCCGATCGATCCGTGCTGCAAGTCCGATGTGTACGATGAGGACCACATGCACCGTATTCAATCTTTGTAGCGGATCCAATTGGACTGATTTGATATTTTAAATTTGCTTGTAAAGTCTAGGATACGAAAAAGGACTGTGTAAGTAGTAGTGTAGAAAATCTGCGGCCAAGGCAAAATCATGTTTATTGTAACAAGATACCGTTTTCATTTTTATTTATGTGTATTATTCGTAGTCCAGGGCGTGTCGATATCTCACGTTGTCTTTTGCTTGCGTCTTTGCCGAGTCGCGACACCTGTTTGCCTTGTGCGCAACCTGGACACGGCAAAATGCGGTTTTACGCCGATCAAACCGTGTCAGAACAGGCTCTTCCCTAGGGAAAACAAGAAAACCGCAACCGCCCTCGTAACCGCCTGCCCTCCGAGCATGACTCGTCAAGCTCGTCAATTTCAGACATCGTCTCAAACTCGTCGTAACTTTCCTTGGCCGGATTGACAGGGCGTAAATGCAAGTTGAAGCGACCCCCCCCCCCCCCCGGCTCACTCTGTGCACCTGTCTGGTACATGACTCTGACATGCGACGACCTCTCGGCCATGCCCAGGCTTTGCTGCCTGCGCGTTTCTGGATGACGATTCAACCGCGTAGACGAGCATAACTCGCTTCGTCATATACCTCGTCCCGGCTTTTTTTGTGCTTGGTGTCCACTCCGCCTGTGTAGTGATCCTCGTCAGGGGGTAGAAAGATGGCAAGACGACACATGGCGGTCGTTAGAGGATGAATGGTGATGTGTAAGGAGATCCGAAAAAAAGAAGAAGCGCAGGTTACCGCCCGTGCGATTGTTTACTCCTTGCGGCCTGTCCACGACAGACCGCGAGAGGTACAAATAGAACAGACTCGTCCATCAAGCATCATTCCCATTCTGTTTTGATCCTCATCCAGCAACTCAACGTCCACTATTCTTTTCTCTTCTTCTCTTGCATTCATTCACTTCTACACGACCCGGTGTCGTCAGTTTTATAACACTATTTAATTTCGTCAACTACAGTACTGTGTACTTTCCTCAAACCGCCAACATGGTTCGCATCGCTGTCGTCCTTTCCTGTACGCATCCATATCTACCTAACCCCTCCTGCAATGCTTCTTTTATTTTCTCTGCTAACCCTCGTCTTCCAGTCGCCGTCTCGGCCCTGGCCCTCGTCACCCCCAACAATGCGGGCGCTAAGAACGTCGGTGCCGGCAACGGTGCCCAGTTCATCACCGGCGGCTGCGTCAACAACGCCGACTGCGGCTCTGCTTGCTGCGCCAACAACGGCCAGGGCGCCGGCGTGTGCTCGGCCGAGGCCGCCGCGCTGCAGAATGGCAAGCAGGGCTGCGGGTTTGCCGACCCCAACGCCACCGGGACGATTGCTGCCGCCAAGGCGCAGGTGGCCAAGCAGGGCTTCTAAGGTGATTCAGGGACGGAACAACTTGGAAAGGTTCAGGTTTCGTAAGGCGGCGTTTGGGTTTGGTTTTGGCACTTTGGACCGTCGGGAGTACGGCCAACGATAGCATGGCTCTCATGACGAGATTAGAAAAAAAAGAACGAAAATCAATAAAACGATAACCAAAAAGGTGTCGGCCCATTTGTCGGATGCTCGTAAACAAAAAACCATAAAAGAGAGCTGGCTGTTGCATAGCTAAGGAAGCAAACCGCAAAGCAGCAGCCGGGAAAGACAAAGCCATTATGAATGGAAAAACAACAGAAAACGGACGTTGCGCCAAGATACAAAATACGATAAGAAAGCCCAAATCCTGGCCGCCGTCCATCATGAGCATCGTGCGCCAAAGACGTTTGCCCTTTTCATTTTTCTCGTGTTTTCCTAAATGGTAGCTTTCGCAAAGCATACCAACTCGCCGGGTATCATCAAACAAATAACAAAAAGGCGTTTACCGCGCTCGTAAAGCGAGCGGCCATTCTTCGTCAAGACCGCCGTCGTTGCGACCGCACCACGTACTCATCTCTGTGACGGTACCGGTCGTGGCGGATGCGGGTGGCCGCCAGGTGGTCCCAAGGAAACAGGACGGGCCGTAATGTCTCCCAGCGTGTACCGTAGCCCAGCGCGCGCGGGTCGCCCTCCTTGAAAGGGTACGGGTTGCCAACGGACTCCGCCCAGACGGCTTTGCTAGGATCGGCCTTCTTTTTTTGGACGGTCTTGGGGCCGGCCGCCTCCCCACTCTCCTCGCCGTCGCCCCGTCTCACGATGACCATAAAGTCCTCGCCACGGATCCGGCTGTCGTGCACGTCCTCCAGCGTCTCCATGGGCCACAGGGCCTGGCCGCCGCGCACACCATACACGGAAATGGTGCTGCGCGGCGTGTCGCCCTCGTAGAAGCCTTCGTCGATCACTGCGTCGATACTGACGCTCCAACCAGCGGCAACGGACGAGTTGGCTGCGTCTCTGGTCGTGTCGTTGTTGTTGTTGGCCGGGATGAGGCCGTCGCGCTCGGTCAGCAGGTGCCGCCAGCGCGGAAGGCGGTACTCTTTGCGGGCCGAGTAGGACGCAAACAGGCTGCCGAGACGGCGGTGGCGACGGTGCTGCGGCATAAACAGCGTCCCCTCGCCTTCTTGAAGCTCCTCGTCCTCCTCCAAGAACAGGAGCCGTGCGGCCTCTGCTTCCTCGAGGTCGGCCCGCTCCGCCTGTGCCAACCGCTCAGCACGCTCGGCGGCCGCAAACACGTCATCATACGTATCCATGTCGGCATCCCAGAAACCCATGTTGACCATCATTGCCTCGACCGAGCTGGGGCGGTGCCTGTCTGCGGCGAGCATGTTTGTGTCGTGGTGCACGTAGCACAGCTCCTTCCAACCACTTCCTGCATGCAGCAGCTCGGTGAGCATCTCGTGTGGAGCGGCCAGGCTGACGGGCGGCGGAGGGTGACTGGTGACACTCATGTTGTACATGTTGACGCTCGGGAGGTTGTGGCAGCGCGTAGACTTATGAACGCGGCACGGCAGTGCGGGCAGGACGGTGAGGCGGTCGAGGCAGAGGCCCGGAAGCAAGCGCATAAGACCACCAAGAAGTAGAAATCGCTGTCGAAACTGTTGTTGTTGCTGCGGCTGTTGCTGTTGTTGTGTGGACGAAAAAGCAGACGATGAAGGCGTCGAGTTGTCTTCCGGGACGGTTGGTAGGGGCGGCAGAGACGGCAGTCTCTGGTGGACAAACAGGCCGCCCTCGCGCACACGCACCTCGCGCACCAGGCTGCGCTGGGCCGGCGTTGCAAAGACACCACCCAAAACGTCCAGCATCGTCGCGGCGTCTTCAAAGTTGAACAGGACCTGGCCGATCCAAGCGTTGTCGCTGACGAGCTCGCGCGTGATCTGGCGGCAGACAAGAAAGAGCGCCATGGAGTGGCGTGCGGGCTTGACGTGGGTAGTGACGCGACCGGGCGTCATCCGGCACTGGCTGTGCTGGACTTCGTCGGCCTCGTCAGGCTCCGGCGACAATGTCCTGGACGACGACGCAGACCCCGAACACGGGGAGTCCGTAGGCGGTGCGCATGTGACGCGTCGGCCCATGGTGAGGCGTGTCGAGTAAAAGACATAGGCGTAAATCTCGTCGCGAATTTCCTGGGGCAGAGTCAAGAGACGACTTGTCTGGCACTGGCCAAAGGCGCGTGTTGGCTTGGGATGTGTTGTGATCACGGATTGGTGCTGTGGGTGGCGGCTGTTGGGATAGGACTGGTCGACGTCAACCATGGTCGGACTACCGCGCGCGGTCCCATTCTCGTATCTGTTCTCATATTTGCTCTCATATTTGCTCTCATATTTGCTCTCATATTTGTCCTCATATTCATGATCATGCTTATAACCACGACTGTTTCCACGATTGAAGCGGTTGGACAGAGATGAGCTGCTGCGCAAATCGATGTCCGAGGTGCTGTGCAGCAGCTCAATGTGACGGATACTGCGGATGGCCCGGAGGACTGGTTGCGAGATCTTCTTGGAGATGCTCACAGGGTACGAGGAGTTGACAGAGTAGGCGGCTTCCTGCGACGATTCTGCGTAGCACGTACTCCGGGATACGGACCGGGCAGTTTCCGCAACACTTTGTCGGCCATCCAAGAGTCCGTCTTTGTCAAGGATTTCGCGTCTCTTTCCAGGCCGTTTCCACCGCGGGAAGACCGGCCGAACAGACAGTTTTCTTCCAGCGTTAGAGAGGCTATTCGAAAGTCGATCGCGAAGAATGAGAAACAAACTCACCTCTTGCCATCATCGCGGTGGCTGAATAGTGACCAATAGGCCACATTGGGGCTGGAGTTGTAACACGCCATGGCAAGAGCTGTGAGAAAAATGGCGGAAGTCTTGTGTGCTGCCGGTGCCTTCGTGGTGAAATTGACAACAGATGAGATGTAGATGGTACAACCAAGGCAACAACTCCCCGCGGCGATGCTGGTCTCGACGACACCCTTGAGCTTTAATATACGCTCAATGGGCGTAAAAGAGGCCCCTTGTGCAGTCGTAAGCGTCGTCTCCCTTTACTGAGGCTGTATCATATGTTGTTGTAGCTGTTTGTCGTCCCCCGTTTGGATGCCGTTTGCTATCTGTCGTTTGGTGAGTCCTCCAGTTCGGGCCCGTTTGCATTTGCGTGTCTGTTCTTCTTCGCTGTGGTGACGGTTTGCTTTCTTCGTCCGCTTGCCTGGGTCTGAATGTGAACTTGCCGCCCTTTTGGTTGATTTGTTTGGCCCGGGATGCTTGCTGATTGAGAGTCGCGCGTTGGCCCAAGCAAGGAGCTAGGTGAGATGGAACGTACCTACACAATGACGAGAACGAAACAAAAGAAATATAAAAAGAAAGCAGAGAGAAAAACAGGGCAACAGAAACAGCTGATGGAGACCGAATTAAACCTCCGACGTGTGTCTTACACCCTCCTAGCACTGGCGAAAAAAAAAAAAAAAAAAAGAAAAGAAAGGAAAAAGAAANAAGGGGGAAATGATGCGCTTGAGAAAGTCTCCCTGCGTCTGTCGGTTTTCTTTTATTTTCTGTTTTCTGTTCACGCCATCTCTTCTTGGATGAGCGGCTGCGTACGGAGTACGGAGTACACGTTTTTGTCGTTTTATATGCTCTGTGCATGCAGGGTGCTGGCTGCGAACAGCTTTCGAATGTGACAGATGCGTCCTAGCTTCCAAGCTATCCTGGGACTTACATGGGATTTACATGCGGCTTTTCCCAATGCCCGCCCTTGACCCCTGTCGTTGATACGCTCATGTGGCCCCGCCTCTCCCTTTTGTGAGGGCGGCTTCTGACTTTTTTGGCTTTCGCTGGTCGGTCTATTTTGTTCGTGCCCGCTTCGCACATCCTTTTCTGTTTGCGCATTGCTGCCCGCTTCATTGGACACCCATGTCATGAATTCCATTGTGCGTTTTCTCGTGCGATCCTTCCTCACATGCCGACCCTGTGAGGGGACCGGGAGGGGGGATGTTCACACCTTGCATGACGGGCCAAGCTCGTGGTCGGTTGGTGGACCAAGCAGAAAACATGCAAAAAAGGCAGACGGACCCTGCGCGGTGGCTCCAGAAAGACAAGTGGGCTGTGGGGCGAACAGAAGCAGCGAGAACGGCGAGAAGAGGCGCACTCCATACAAGGTATGAGCACGGGGCAGCACGTTTTGTGGGCAATCGTGCATGTGTGAACACAAAAAAACGGCGGATGGAGCAAGGCTGCAAGGGAGAGGAGCCTGCCTGGGAAACCTCACGACATGCAAGAGATCAGCGAATGGGCAAAACCGGAGGTTATTGTGTTACGCACTTGCACGAAAAGTGGAAAGGACCAGACGCAAAATGAGGAAAGAAGAATTGTTTGGAAATTACAAACGAAATAGGCTGACAATTGTTGGTGACATGCTCGGAAGGCAGGAAATCGTGGGCGCGAAAAACAAAAAAGGGACAATATGAACATAGCGAAGACACAAGCAAAGCTAGAACAAACTCAGCAGGGAGGCGGGAAACATGGATCATCGGACAGGGGTGCGTTTGGCGGAGAGGTTGAGTTTTGTTGAATTAGGGAATTTTGGTGGCGGCGAAAGGGCGACAGCTGGTCGCAAAAAACAAACAAAATGGTGACGTGCACAGGTGAGAACAGGGGGAAAGACGAGGAGACAGCCAAAAGGGGGGAAGAAGGAACATGCAGAGAAAACCAAGGTGAACAAAAAGGCGATGACAGGTGTTTTGTGAATATTCGACTGAGTTTGTTCATGTGTGCACCAGCCTTTTCTGCTGCCTGTGTCGGCGTCCCTTCTGTTTGCTTGGGCCTCCTGTTGGCTCTGACCCCAACATGCAGTATGCAAGGTGCATCACATCAAGGCCTCCCTTTGCTGGCCCAACAATGCCCCCTTCTCCGATACTAGAGCGATACCTCATCTTCCCTCGCCAAAGCGTTTGGCGCAAGGAGGCGGGAGTGGGCGAGAAGGGCTTTGCGGTCAGATCGCGCTCGTGTCGCCGTCTCCGTCTTGGGCTTGCATTGAGCGTGTAAGTGACATCGGAGCCGAAACGCCGCGTCATAACTCGTCAAATAAGGCACAGCAAAAAGAGTGTTGGCCACGCATATCGATCGCCACACAAGCCCGGTTCATTCGTTTTCTGCACTCTCCATCTTTTGAAATATGTCCTTTTCGCTTTCGTCTCAACTGTGTCGAGTTTTGGTTCTCAATCACAAGGTTGCCCTTATTTCCTGAGATGATAGTCAGGACGTGCAGACCCTGCTTTTAACTGAGGTCAAGGGAGAGGGCTTTTGAAGGTCCAAATCAAAGCAAGACATCCGCCACGACCAGCGTGAGACATGCAAGTTGAGACAAGCGCAAGGCAAAAAATAGAAGCAAGACATGGGCCCAGCCCTTAGGGCCCTCTAGTGTTACTGCCCACGCTGACGTGGAGCATCTAGGTGAGCTTGGAGGGGCGTGGAATCGGCGTGCGAAGAAGTCGAAATGAAGCAAGGTCACAACCCGGCCCGAGACAAGACAATCAATAGAGACAATCAATAGAGACAGCAGAGTGCAGTAGTAAGTACAGAAGCGGTTGCTCCAGACGCACCTCCCAGAGCCGTTTTATGTCGTTCATATCAGTTCACAGATTTTCCGACTTGAAGGTCTCGTCGAGACAAACAATGATGCGGTGGGGAAACGATGCTCCATGTGACATATGTTGTGAGCTGCGATGCCATCCACCACATGTCATCATCTGTCTGCCGGCGCTCGACCGTGGTGTCAATTTGTGTGGTTGGCGCGGTTGACCATAAAAAGGGAACGATTTTGTCGTCGCCGACATCGACGCTGTCCTTGCCAAGGCATGGCTGCTCATGGTCTCTCCTTGGCACAAGACTGCACGCCCGGTTGCTGGCTGGAAAGGTTGGGACATCGATCACCGCGGCGTCGCATGGCGAGCACAAGCCGCTCAAGTCACCTGGTTGCCGGCCTTGCGTATGAAACAGTCCCCGCTGCAGAGTTCCGTGCATTCTTTGCAACGACAAAAAAAGACACAAGATGCATGTTGTATGCGAGGGGCAACTCGTCGTCCTGCTTCCCGACCCCAATGATACACGCAGATGTTGGTTCGTCGAGCTCTGGCCTCCTTCACCAACACCCCGTTGTCGGCGGCCTGGCCACGTTGAAGTTGTTCTTTGCGGCCGTCTGGGGCGATTCGTGCCAATGCGTTGACAGTCCGGGTCTGTTTGCACATGCAGGCAAGTCCATGCGATGCAACAGCGAGAAGGATGGAATGCTCAGTGCGTTCTGCAAGGCGGGAAAATGAGGGGAAAGTGGGAGAAAAGAGCAGGCAAGAGTATCAAGCAAAACAGAAGAAGACAAAAAGACGAGGCAGATGCATCGCCAATGGCCTCGTTGCAGTTTCGGTCGAGCTGAAGAGAGACACGGCTGTCAATCTCCACTACAATGATTCAGACCAACGCATGGCGCATTCCTGGCTTCGTGGGTGGTGCATGTGGGTGCGTTCTGATTCTTCGTCGCCATGTTTTCCTATGTTCTCAATTCTGAGTCGACCGTCGTCGTTCTGCCCTCGCCCTTTTAGACATTCACGTTCGCCCCCTTTGCTGTGTCGTCAGATTTGCCAGTTCTGGGCAGTCGTTCCTTCCATCTCGCCAGTCCTGCTTGACTTTGGCCGTGGCAGGTGCTGATTGGCTCATGACGGGAAGGTGCAGCACAATGCATCGGTTGAGAGACTGCCTCGCATGCACCTTCAAAGTCCACCGCATTCTCGTCCTTTCCTACTCAGATCTACTATTCGCTCGTGTTGACATGCCCGCCTCGTCGCTCCTTCTGCTTCTGTAGACGGCGTGGCCGAGTCCGCTGACTGGCTGCTGGCCTCGGCCTGGCGCAGTTTCCTCTCTTCTTTCATGGCCTAATTACTTTCATACAGTGGCTCGAGTGGCTGGCTCTCGGTTGACCGACACGCTCGCACGATTCTTTGCCTGTGCCCGACTGAACCGGAACTTCCCATTCGCCTAGACAGAAAATTTCGCCTCCCGCTCAAAGAAAAGAAAAACCGTGAGAAGTTCTAGTTTTTCTAGCGCCCCCAACTGCCAATCCAGCGATAGAAGGCGCGGCCGTTGCATTTCATGGCGGCGTGGCGGCGCTGGTTGGTCGCGACTCCTATTTTAGTGCAAAAAAGTCTGCCTGCAAGGGCGAAAACAAAGACAGCAGGAGCACAAGGGAAAAGGGGAGAGGGAACCGCGGTGGCTCTTTCCGAATTTAAGGTGCGGCAAATCAGGGGGGCCCTCTTTCCAAGACCCAAACTCGTGTCCCACTTCCGTGGAAAGCACCTGGTTCGTGGAGCGCCTTCTGCTTCTCCAGACTTTTCGCTTCACCCGCGTTCTTGACGTTGTTTTTCTCCTTCTTTGCCTCCTTTTCTTTTCTTTTTAGTATCACGAACTTTTGCATGCCCGCGCAATTGATTCTTTTCTCTCGTTTTCGTCTTTTCCTTTCGACGTATTTATAATTTTTGGCCGTCGCTGCGGCATTACTCTGCTCAGCGCAAGTCGCCCTGGACCAAACCCCGATCCCTGCCAGTTTCGCCCAAACCCAAAACACCAAAACACCAAAACACCACAACAACCAAAAGGGAACGACCAAAACAAAAGCCCGTCCCGTGCCCAACACGCTCGTTGTCCTCCCATCCCGCGGCCGTCGCGACTCGCTGTTCTTTCGTACTTCGACATCGCGACAGTGCCTTACATGTTTTCCGCTTTCTCATCTGCTTCGGCCCT